TTTTCCAATGAAAAATTTTAACTTTACACTTTGGGAAGGGTTAGGGCAATGGATTCCCTATCTTGACAAAGGAAAATAAATTGAAGGTCTACTAGCACTGGCCTGAATCGCACTCCAGAGACCTGAGAGATCGGCGGCGTTCACCAAACAAATACGAGAACCCTCCGTGATGGTGTACACAGTGCAGCCCAAAGCCACACAGTTACAGTTCAGCCACGGGATCGCCGTCGGTGGCGTCGTCCCAGAATAAGAAGATCCATCAATGTGTTATGGTGATTAACAGAAAATATTGATGTTATTTACAAAAAATGTTCAGAGAAGAGGAGAATAAGAAGATCCATACAAAAAATTTGTGAACTCACCAGAGAAGTGGTAGATCCACTCGAAGAGGTCGCCGTTGCTTCGAATCTGGTGAACAATGGATTGAGAGGTGATGGATTGAGAGGCGAGAGATTATGAGGCGAAGAGTGAACAAAAACACAGGTGAAGATTGAAGATTGTAACAGAGATGAAGATAACTAGAGTCTAGAGAAGAGGGTGAAGAAAGAAGAGGGTGGAGAGAAGAAGCGAGGGAGGCACGACTGTGATGACTAATACGATGCCAGATGAGAGTAACGACTTATTTGGGAGCTAGGGTTAGAATAATGAATTAAAAAAAAAAAAGAAAAAAGAAATACGGTAATAAGTATACTTATATCCAATATTGTGTGTGTATATATATATATATATATATAATATATTATTCACGGTTCGGATCGGATTGACTAACGGTTCGGATTGGCAACAGTTCGGTTCGGATCGGTTAGCGGTTCGGATCGGTTTTTTCAGGGGTCAATCCGTTAACCGAACCGTGAATACCGGATTGAAAATTTTCTAAACCATCACCAGACCATGAGATTTGAAAACCGAACCGAACCACACGAATCGGATTAATCCGAACCGAATAGATGAATTAACGGATTATTTGTTCATCCCTAGACTCCAGTGTTAGTACGCACTCAAGTCCAAATGATTTTACCACTAGGCGAACCATAGTGGTAAATGATGTTGAGAACAAAAATGATGTTGATGACCAGACTGTAGTATTTCGAGTTAAGGTTTTATCGGGAACTGAGCAGGACCACCAGGTTCATTTATGTAGGTCTAAATCTACTCCTCCTCCTTAAACAAGGTAACCGGGGAAAAGAAAAAAAAAAAAAAACACACACCCTCTGTTTCCATTATTTGTTTCACTTAAAGCTGTCTACTTTTAAGAGCAAAAAGTAGCGTACATATAATATGATTATATCTACCCATCTACCAACCATTATGTCCAAGGGTCATATTGACCCATAGACAATTTTCTATTTTTGGAACATTGAAAATTTAAAGAGGGTACAAATATTTGTTTGGTTGCAATTTTCTAAAAATTCACTTAAAAAACAGTTCTATGTTTTCAAAAAAGTTTTTTTGAGAATTTTTTTTAAAAAATTGAAACAAACAATGTTTCATAAAGGAGCCTTTGTAAAGTTATGAAAAAGACAAACAAAACATGAAACAAAGACACGATGAAAGATGGATAATAAATGACTTGTTTGATATTGAAAAAAGGAGATTTAATTTTTATATTATTTTTATACTTCAAAAGCAGGAAAGCAATTGGTTTTACAGAAAAAGCTTCAGAAACTTTTCCTGATTAGAGACCATTCTTAAGAAACATCAAAATTTCAGTATGCATTTTGCAAAATGCTAGAATCTGTTAACAGAATTCAATATATATATACATATATATATTAATTATTGTTATTATTATTATTATTTTTATACATTTGCATATATGGGCTTCAAGTTCTGCTAGAATTAAAGATGTTCAAACTTGTCTTTTACATTAATAAAAATAGAAATATAAGTTATGTACAAATATTGAAAGTCATCTTTACCGCAAGAAGTTTTTTTTTTATTATTTTTTTTTATAGTGATTTCTAAAATATGATATCTTTAATGCGCAATTAATTGGTAATTTGGGAAAATGCTAGATTGATTTAGAATTACAGTAGCAAAAGAGTATATATAATAACATTTTGTAGTCTCTCTGATTTGAGAATATACAAATTAATTGCAACATGGCTTAATAGGTTATTATTGTTGATCAGGCTTAATAGTTTGTGTAGTTGATTGTACGCATGGGTAAATAAGCAGCCAAGTTTAAAGAAAGAGCAATGCTTGGGTCTTGCCCTATCAGGACAAGTTTTGTCCTCCACCCTAATGTGGCTCAATAAAAACTTGACACCTGTCAAAAAAAATGGATCAAATTGGTTACCCATTAGATACCCGGATTAAAATCCATCACAGAAACCCATTTCTCTCTCCTTCAGGGCTCAAATCATTCAAGAGAGAGAAGGCATGTGGGTCAGATGACGGCCCAGACGATATAGGGGCTAGAGTTACCGGCACCGGCGACAAGATCCCCGGATTCTGAGAGGATCCCCGGCTGAGATCGGATCGGGATGAAGTGGAGGCCGACGATGTGGGTCGGCGATAAAGTCAATCAGCGGCGTGAAGATGATCCCTCTGGTGACTCCGACTGCTGGGTTTGGCGACGGCAGGGATGTCGCCGTTGAAGACGGAGACAGTGTAACAGATCCGGCAGCGGCGAAGGATCCGGCGGAGATCACTGGTTCGGCCGACTGTGATGGTCACTAGAGTCGGCGAAGATGGAGATGGCGGTTGAGACAGATTCGGTGACTGGATGGCGGGTCGACGACTGAGCAGAGAGTTGAAGCAGCAAGGGTGCAAGAGAACAGATCGCCGTTGGCAATGGTGACAGATCGCGACGGTCGCACAAGCTCTGAATCCCTCGAATCCGGCCAAGGTGGAGCCGGATCCCAGAGACTATGGGGTTTTCTGATGGTTCCTTCAACGGCGGCCGATATATATCGGTCGGCAACGAAGGCTCCGGAGCTGAGAGTCTGCGGCGGTGAATCGAGGTGGAGACGAGAGAGATCAGGCAGAGGGTTTTGAGATCGAGGGCTTGGCCGTGATTGAGCCGATCGGCGGTGAGCTTACCAGTGGATGGCTCGGCTTCGGATGATGGTGTGGGTTGCTGCAGTGCTTGGAGAGAAGAAGAGAGGAAGAACTGAAGGAGATAAAATGGGTTTGTCTAATGGGTAGACCCGAATAACCCAATTTGATTCAGTATGATTCATTTTTTATATTTTGGACAGGTGTCAAGTTTTTATAGGGTGGAGGACAAAACTTGTCCTGATAGGGCAGGACCCAAGCATTGCTCAGAAAGAAATATGTTATCAAAAATTTGATCCTCTATTTGTTTTTAGACTCATTTGTTTGAATGTAAATTTTTTTTATTATTTAATTGTCATAAAATATTTATAAAAATTTAATTAACTAAAAAAAAAAATTACTTTAATTTTAACCTCTCAATATTCCAAAAATACCCTTCTTAAATAAGAAAAAAAAAATTGCAATTATAAACTTTGTCCAAAATTAATTTCTTGCTATGAAATTAATTTTGTTCTTTTAACCTTTCAAAAAATACACGGTGGTGGACGGATCAAACATCCAATACGAGTAAAGTGGGAAACATATTGTTTAATAATTTCTTTGAAATTGTTTTCTTATTTTTTTTATTTTAACGGTTATAATAATTCATCTATTTTAAATATATATATATATATATATATATAAATTAAATGTTTTTCAAAACGGGTAAAAAAGGTTCTATTTAGAGAACTATATTAAAAACTTTTATAAAGAAAATTGAATTGATTGTAAATACTCATAATTCGAAATTATATAATCATAGATTAGAAATCATACATTTTAATGTTTGAGAGCTTAGGGTTTTTATTCTCTTTTTTAAATTAATTCATCCGTGAATAGGCTTCAGATATTCAGACGATAAGTGAGATTTGATTCAGACGATGAAGATCTGACGATCAACGGGGAAATGGCCAACTAGGTAAGTGTCCTTCTACAATACTCTAAATACTTTTATATTATATCTATGTATAGAGAGAGAAATGCTATAAAAAAACAATCTGTTTTTTTTTTTTTTTTTTACCTACAATATCATTCAATGTGACATCAGTGGATAATAAACAATGATAATCAAAATTATTGTTTTCCAGTAGTTTTATATATATATATATGTGCCCGTTTGTATAATACTTATATAAGTATTTGGTTAATCTGTGATGTTGAAGAATTTCCCCTTATATCATCTTTTTTTTTTCGAACTGTATCTTATATCATCTTCTGTATGCGGTTTAATATATTAACCCCAATTCCCAGGCTCTACGAGTGCAAAAGCCTACCAAAGGATGTCAACAAGCTCTTAGATTGGCAGTAACTACCAGTACAATAAGGAACATGTATGTATTGTTTTGTTTTTTTTTTTTTTTTTTTTTTGAAATTTAATATTCATTTCCATGTTTTCATTATATAAAAGATTTCTTTTGCTAACTTTTATTTTCAATTGTAAAATCGGATATAGAATGAAAATTACGAGTTTGTGAAGGTTCTGAAGGCAAATTCACATGTTGTTGCTGGTTTTATTTATTATATTATTTTTGAGGCCAAGAATGCTGTTGATGGCCAGTCTAAAATCTTTCAAGCTAAGGTGTTCGATGGGATTGGGAAGAATGAGGTTGAATTGTGTACGCCTAAACCTCCTACATAATTGATTGAGGTACAATTTATTTATTTATTAATTAGATAGCATTCTTGTTATTGTTCCACTTTGATTTACTAAATTTTTTGACACTTTGGGTAGATGCTAATTTTGTAATGTCTATTGCATTGGCTTTGGTACTATACAATAATGGATGCATCAGATTTAGTTATTTTTGTAACAAAGGGTCAAAACACTTGGAGGTTGGTTCATTTAAAGAAGAAATTGAAATAAGATGAGAATGTCTATGGTGCTAATTTTATTCAAAGTTCATGCACTTACCACGTAACTCTTGTTTTATTACATGTGCATACCAGTTTTTTCTTTTTTATTTCATCAGCTAACAGTTTTTTGCAACGTTACAAGGAAAGCCATTGACTAATTGGAATTTTAAGCTACAACCTTCTTCTTGTTCTGTGCCTCTAAGTGGCCAAAAGATTATCCAAGTATAATTTAAAACCATTGCTACTGGTTTGTCTGGTTTTGGCCCTTTGGTAAAAAGTTTATTACTAGAAAGAATTACTAATCAAGTATAAGAAGTCACTTAGATTTTTTAGATTCTTAAGGTGCATATGGAGAATGGTTATTCAGTAACTTCGTCTAATTAGGACTGAAAAGTGATAATGATGCTCCTAAAAATGTAAGTTTAGTTCAGTCTCATTAATATCTTATATTTAGGGATACACGTGCACAATATTCCACTTGCACATAGATGAAATTTATTTCACTTATAAAAATGTTCTCATCAACAATTTGATATGGTGCATTTTCATTCTACGGGCATGACATGATATGTCTGGCTCACTCAATGTCTTCTTCACTGGATGTGGCGTTTTGCCATCCTTAATCACAACCCTTTTATCTTTGGCAATTTTTTTTTTTGTTTATTTTTCCTGGTTGGTACTCACATACACGTCTCTTTTGAGACTTGAACCTCTGATCTCCCTTCGGGAAGTAAGAGACTGATACCGCTAGGCCAATAACCCTTTGGTTTATCTTTAATAATTCAAGCTTATCTTTCACTTTGTCATTTGATTAAGCAAAGTAGATACCAGTTTATGCACTTTCAGCAAAGCATTATCCATAAGAAATGCCCGACTAATGCACATCCAAGCAAAGTAGAATTTACTCAAGTGTCGAACAAAGAATAACTTACCTTGATAAGAAAAGTCGATACCATTTTGGAAACTAATAGCTTTAACATGTTGAACCCAAGTGCCTGTCTATTTATATGCATGCACGCGCACTTCATATACGCCTTGTTCCTTTTGAAGCTCTCTCTCTCACACGCACGCACATACATGAATCCAATTGAAAAACATACCCGTAATAAGGAGCTGTACAATGCTCTGTTGCAAAGAGAAGGGGACAAGGTGATCCAACTTTGTCAAGGAATTCCAGAGGGGCCGTTGTACATATTAACCATACGCAATGACACGGTCCTTCACATGGCTATTTACTCCGAACAGACGGACTTAGTACTCAGATTACTCAAATTGGTGCCTGAAAGTCATCTTGACAAAATGACCCTTCAAAATGATAGTGGAAGGACTATACTCCACGAGGCAGCCAGTTCTGATAGAAATGTCCCGGCTGCTAGGGAAATGTTGCGTAAATCGCCGAAGTTGCTAGCTATGCGCACCAAGCGTGGAGACACAGCTCTGTTTCGTGCGGCCCGGGAAGGCCAAACTGAGAGCTTCAAGTTTTTAGATGGCGAAGTCAACAAAATCTTTCAAATTGATGGCAGAGAAGAAACCCGAAATGCCATTCATCAAAGAGACGATAAAACAACTACACTTCATATATCTGTTCTCACCGAGTCTTTTGGTGAGTACCCATGAGCAGAACATAGCTTACATGAAATATTGTTCATTGAATGATTTCATGGTGATTAATAGTATTATCTAATGAGCCGTTCTTGTTATATATCTAAATAGTTAGCATAGACTTATAAAATTTTCACACTTACCACCATATTATATATCGTGGAATGTCATGTGGAAAACTAGCATTAAGGTTTACTTCAACTTTAATTGTTAGATTATTTTTTTATTTATTTTTATTTGTTGGGTCTGCTTTTATTCAATCTTTTGCTATATATGAAATATAAATGAAACAGGTTTGGCCCTTTTGATTGCGAGGAAGTACCAATATTTAGTTGATGAACGAGATGGATATGGGATGACTGCTTTGCAACTTCTTGCATGCAATCCATCAGCATTCAGAAGCGGGGGTAAACACAATTCCCTCAAGCGACTCATCTACACTTGTATGATTTTTCCTTCGAACTTTAATTTACGCTTGTGTGTTTTTTTTCTTCTTCTAACTTAATGTCCATGGACTTTGAGCTATATATAATTTTTTCTTTTCATATTGAGCTTCATTTGCTTGCCTGCATAGACCAAGTGATCGTGAAAGCAATCTAAACTTGGTACCTTTCTCTCTCTTTCCCTTCATCTTCAAATAGAGCAATAATTGCTAGAAAATATATGCCTTATATGTTACTATTCAAGATAAAACAGGATTATACTAATTAAATAAATTAGAATAATTAATTTTAAAACCTAATATGCTCGCTAGAATAATTAATTAACTTTTAATAGGCAAATAATATTGCATAAATAAAACAACTTATAAAAAAACTTGTAGATCGAGGCAATAATTTGATTTTATGTCAGTATGTCATTAGACAATTTACGCCAACGATCCCAAAGGCGCTTGTCACTCGGGATACAAATTTTTTTCTTCAATTGGTGGCAACACTTCAAACCAATTGAATAGGCGAACCAAACACTATGTTGTACTCTCTCATTGACCTGACTCCGATTAAAGTGAATGATAAGATAGAACTAAATTTGAACCAATTAATATGGAGCCAAGGATTTAGAAGACAAGAGCATGTAGAGAGAAGGAAGAAGAAATCTGATTCTGAAATTGTAATTTGTAAATGGTCTACGGGGGTATTTATAGACAAAGAAGTGGCTTTTCGAGTACCCCTTTTGGTTCAAAAGGTTATTTTGGACCCTTGTCAAGTTATTACACCACACTTTATAGAACTCATCTATGACTTCATCTTGTCACAATCTAGGAACACTATATATTTGAATTATGTTTGTTCTGAATTGTTCTCTCTATTCCTTTTTCTCTCTGATAAGCTACATTCTCAATATTACAAAAAATTGGTGTTTGCAGGTGTCGTAACTGAAGATACTCCTGTGACAGAAGAAGGTAAAGGGTTGTTTAGCAAAATTACCACCAATTTTCCCTTATATTCTATTTGCAACCCTTTCATCCTCGCCTATTTGTTATTTCATATTTTTTGATCTCATGAATCGTCATCATAATATGATAATTATTTTAGTTTATTGGAAAAGTTTTTTTTGATAGCGTTTGTGTCACAATGATTTTTAATGTTCAAGATAGCCAAACATATAGTTCTTGTAATTCTACCAAATCAATCTTTAATATCTATACAATTAAATTTGACCGACTTCCGTTTCTTGAAAATTAAGTTGAATCATGTTATCGAGTGCCCTTATGGGAAACAATTAGGAAGCAAAAAAAGAAGCACGAGGCTGCTTTGAGACTTGCCAAGTTCTTGATAGAAAAAGATACTTCATGGGAGGCCACATCTGTATCTGCATTTCGCCGGACTCAGTTGAAGACCCACAAATATGGAGGATCCTCTGCCGCTACCAAAAGCCAAGGAGTAGAGGAAGTACAAATTGACAAAACAAGTCATGCAATGAGCACTAAAGAGACTGCTGGAACTCCATTATTTTTGGCAACTAAGGTAGGCATTATAGAGATTGTTGAAGAGATACTCAATAGATATCCTCAAGCAGTCGAGCATAGGGATGATGAAGGGCGTAGCATCTTGCATGTTGCCATCCAGTATCGCCAAATGCATATTTTCGATCTTGTACAGAAAATGGAAATTCCGATGATGAGACTCATGGGTAGGACCGACAAGAATGGGAATTCCGTACTGCATATGGTTGGGATGAAGGAAACAGATCGTGCTACTGAGGACACGCAAAGTCCTGCTTTGCTATTGCAAGAGGATTTGCTCTTGTTTGAGGTGCGCGCGCGATCCTTTACGTTCCATATAAGCATCCAGTATCCACTCACACACACACACACACACTATTTCCTAGCATATAAGCATGCATGTCCATTATGGAGGCTTCAAGCCAGTGGATCAAAGGCTGTTGTGGCTTTGTCTTTATCCCTTAATGCTAGGGACTATGATCCAATAGCTTGAAGCACTGTGCGTGGTTTTAATATAATTGTGAAGGAGCTAACAGAGAAGAGTTCAGAAATTAAACCACTGCTGAAACTAAAACAAAAATCTAAATTTATGTGATTTTATTGCGTGCAGCGTGTGCAAAAAATCTCCGCAACTTATTACACCAACCACTGCAACTCTCAGGGGCAAACTGCTGAAGAACTATTTGCCACTAATATGGATAGAAGTCGTAAAGATGCCATAGAATGGCTAAAGCGCACTGCAGAAAATTGCTCCATTGTTTCCGTGCTGATTGCCACAGTCGCCTTTGCTGCGGCCTACACAGTACCAGGAGGCCCAAACCAAAGTACTGGTTATCCCATTCTTCTCAACCAACCTCTCTTCGTGATATTCACCATTACTGATGTGCTCTCCCTTACATTCTCTTTGACGTCGGTGGTTACATTTCTCTCCATCCTCACATCCGCTTTTCGATTAAAGGACTTCAAACAGTCTCTTCCTCAAAAACTGTTGCTAGGAGTTACATTCCTGATTTTCTCTATTTCAATGATGATGTTGGCTTTTGGAGCAACAGTTATCCTAACGATACGTAATAAGGAATATTGGACAAGAATCGCCTTATACTCGGTTGCTTTCCTCCCGGTCAACATCTTTGCTCTGTCATACTTGCCTCTCTACATGTCACTCATGAGGACCTTCAAGTACTCAATTGAGAAAATAGGTCAGGCCTTTCCCCGGTTTAGTATAAATTCCCGAACCATCAAATCTCAAGCCAGGAGTTCCACCATTTCTACATACCCTTCTGCAACTCTAACCACCCATTCCCTTGTTTGAACTGCCAAATATGGGACCTTAGATGAGTGTATCTTCAAAAGGCCTCTACCTTTTAAAATTATTTTTTATTGTCCATTGTTAGATCTTCGAGTTGTTAATGCTTTGCTCTCTCTAAATTTGTAAGTACATATATGGAAATAAGCATGATTAATTTGCTGTGTTAAGTTGATAACTTGTATTGTATGGTTATAAATTTTTAGAGTGATTATTATATTATCACATTCAGTATTACTTTAAATCCACACAACTCTAGCTATCATCTACGTATTGGCCAGTTGACCTGTTTTAAGAGACTATCTGAAAAACAACTAAAGAAAGTATTTCAGGTTCAATTCAATGAGTAAAAGATTGTCTTCAAAATTGAAAAAATTGGCAAAAATGTTGATTTCACATACTAGGGTGTGACTCTGAAAACTAAAGCATGCCAGACTTGTTAGTGTTAAAGAAAGTTTGACTCATAAAACAATTTGAATATGGTCACTGGAAAGTAATATCCACTATTAAGTTGTCAATTAGCTAAGCTTTTCTTTAATTGGGATTTTTTTTTTTTTTTTTTTTTTTTACTAGTTGGTATTCTCACACATCCACTCGAAGGAATTGTTTGTATCTAGCAGAAATCGATCCGAACACCTAATACTTCGTGAGGCATTAGTCCAAGTCTTTTCCTACTTGACCAACCGCTTAGGTCAACTGTTTAGGGTTTATTTAATATTGTTCTCTTCTATGCAATTAATTTAGTAAATGTCTGAAAAGCATGAGTCCAATAAACAAATCTTTGTGCACATGAAGGTAGAAATTTCAAAACCTAAATATTTGAATATTTAATATTATTACCACTAAAAAGATGTGTCTAGTTGTCTCATTTTTCTCCTAAAGTGGTATAAAGGTATTTGAAAATTCAATACTTTCTTAAATATTTATGTTACTCATTAATGGTCATATCAAGTTCAGAGAAAGTGTATTATGGTCTCAAAAGAAAAATAATACAATTGAGGACGCATAAATTTTATCCGACCATACAACTTACATGATATGACAATGAATGAGTAACATAAATATCTAAAAAAAAAAAAAATGTTAATGTTACTCCTTAATACTCTGACATACTTAATTATTACAATCAGATGCCTTAAAGTGGGTCTTATTAGAAATCTACTTTAATGCATCCCAAGATATGTAACTATTTATTTTCAAAATTATTTTTTTAAAAAAAAAAAGATAAAAAAATGATTATTTGGCAGAGTATCTCAACCCAACTACTACGAAAATAACATGCGGATAATGAATTGTGTTATAGGCCTAAGGCCCAGTATTTCTGCTGAAGTGCTGGGTGAAAGAAATTTTCCAATAAGATAATGATTTTTGTTCGTGGGCAGGACCAGAAAGATCGACCTATGAGGCCGACTAAGTGAAAGCCTTTCCATGGCAGATTAATGGCATCGAGCATTCGAGCCGATTTCATTGAGTTGTCTGGTCGGTTTATCCAGTCGGCTGATAATAAATACTGTATCTAAGTTCTAAAGTACCCCCACCACTTAAGAGAATAACGGCCGAGCCAGAACTACCCTAGCGGGGATGAAATAGCCTTTTCATGTCATTCCAAAAAAAAGGAACTAATCTGTTCTCACTCTCTCTATGTCTACGAATCGTTTGACTCATTTGTTTACTCTGTTTTTTCTCTCTCTATCAAAGCTCTCAGATATGGCAGGACTGTCTCTTTTCAATCATTTTCTATACAAACCCATTTCAATGATGCCTCAATTCAGCTCCAAAACCTCTCTCTTTCCGGCGAATTTGATTGGTTTTACGACCATAAAGTCGAGACAGAGGTTGAAGGTTTCCATCAGAGAACACAAGAAAGCCAGACCGGTTTTTAGAGTGAAGGTTGTGAATGAAGAAGATGAATCGACACCGGAGGAGGAGGCGGAAATGGCGGTGGCCGAGGAGGAGGGGGAGGACGAGGAGGAGGAGGAGGAGGAGGAGCTGGATAAGTTGAAGAAACAGTTGGTGTCTTCGTTGTACGACACTGATCGTGGACTGAGAGCAACAAGGGAGAAGAGGGGGGAGATTGTCGAGCTGTTTATGGAGCTGGAGGTCAAGAATCCGACTCCGGCACCAACCCAAGCTTTGACTCTCCTCAACGGCAAATGGATTCTTGTGTAAGTTCACTCTTCACTTTCTTCATTATTTCAAATATTTTGATTCAAGTTCATAAGTTTTTTTTTTTTTTTTTTTCCCCTAATTATTATTTTGAATTAATGATGATTTATACTATTGATCTGTGTGTATAGCAACAATGTTCTTTCAAAATTATTCGTGCTGTGTCATTTCTGACTCCAATTATAGATATCATAGAAGTGGTCTCAGGGAAGGGTGGAATGTACCTTTAGAATTTTGATCACATATTGAAGCTCGTCAATTTGTTAAACTTGTTTTGGACTTTGCTCAATAAGCTAATAGGGCTAGCCTACTTTACAGAGCTGCTTCCATTGTGGGGTCTCCTACCCGGCTGTTTTTGGTTTCCAACCCGTGACAAAATCACGATTTCAGTTTGAAGGCCTGTGTTAAAACCAAAAAAAGAAAAAAAAAAAAAAAAAACCTGAAAAAAAAAAAGAAAAGAAAAGAAAAAAGAGTTATCATAATTGCAAAAGAAGAAGAATTTTAAGAAGTAGCAAATAAAAAAATTTAGAAAAGCAGTAGAAAATGAGAGATTTTTGGAATAATAAAAAAAAAGCTTGGTTGAATATGGAAAATTTAACTCTGAAAGGAAACGAGAGAGAGAGAGAGAGATTTTAAAATACTACATATATCATAAAAGAAGAATTTTAATAAATTTTTGGAATAATAAAAAAAAAAGCTTGGTTGAATATGGAAAATTTAACTCTAACAGGAAACGAGAGAGAGAGAGAAAGAGAGAGAGAGAGATTTTAAAATACTACATATATCATAAAAGAATTTTAAGAAAGAGAGGGAAAAAAAAAAAAAAAAAAGTTTGGTTGAATAAGGAAAATTGTTTAAATTTTCAATCAAACTTACGTAACCAAGTTAGTATTTCACTAAAATTTGTATGATGGAAGTATCCTATTCCTTAAATTCTTAAATAGTAGAAAATTCAAGTAGAAGTACTAAAGGATGAATACAACTCAAATTTACTTTTTTAAGTGTGGTATGGAAGTAGTAATGCATTATTCATCAGATAATAAATTGTAATGTTTTATTCATCACACAAATGTGGAAGTATGGTCATATCATGACACTAATAATTGAAGCAGAAGTACAATGGTATAAATTAGTAGGATTCAACAAAAAATTACTACTACAATTTATCATGATTAATGACATGATATGACCGCACTACCACATTTGTCTGATGAGTAATGCATCACAATTTACAAATCATTTAGCTCGCATCTTGATATTTTTTTCTTTTTTTGAATGGCATCTTGAGATATTTGGCAGCTAGCAATATTTGTGATTGATAAATACATAGTGTGTTGTATATTCACTTGTACAATAATAGCAATAGTATTTTTTGTTTGTTAATGAAAAATAGCACAGATACAAAGAGTTTGGTTGAATAAGGAGAATTTAACTTGTGCAACGTGCCCCCTAGGCCTATGTTAGCTCCGGCCTTGACTACAGTGGAGCAAACTTATCGTAAAAATCAAAATAGTGGGTACCGTTTCAATCACATAACAACCACTTTATAAGATAAGCAAGTAAAGTATAAATTTTCAACCAAACTTACATAACCAAGTTAGTATTTCACTAAAATTCGTATGATGGAAGTATCCTATTCCTTAAATTCTTAAATTGTAGAAAATTCACGTAGAAGTACTAAAGAATGAATACAACATAAATTTACTTTTTAAAGTGTGGGATGAAAATAGTAATGCATTATTCATCAGATAATAAATTGTAATGTATTATTTATCAGACAAATGTGGTAGTGTGGTCATATCATGCCATTAATCATGATGAATTGTAGTAGTTTTTTGTTGGACCCTACAAATTTGTACCGTTGTACTTCTGCTTCAATTATTAATGGCATGATATTACCACACTACCACATTTGTATGACAAATAATGCATCACAATTTACAAATCATTTAGCTCGCATCTTGAGATTTTTTTTTTCTGAATGGCATCTTGAGATATTTGGCAGCTAGCAATATTTGTGATTGATAGATTCATAGTGTGTTGTATATTCACTCTGTAGAATAATAGCAATAGTATTTTTTGCTTGTTAATGAAAAATAGCCCAGACAAGGACCATCAGATACATAGTGTGTTGTACAATAATAGCAATACTATTTTTTGTTTGTTAATGAAAAATAGCCCAGGACCATCAGATATACATAGTGTGTTGTATATTCACTCTGTATAATAATCATCTTTATGAAAACTGGAAATAGCAATTCATTACATAATTTGCATGTGCATTCTGAATGGTCTAATTTGGTCAGGACCATCTTTATGATACTTATGTATCTATCTAGATTAAATGTGTTATAACTACAAATTAATTAATTTTTCTTGCTATAATGTTTAATCTTGGATTGTTATTATTGGATCTGATTATGCATGGTCAAATTATTGCCCTCCAATCCACATTCTACATAGCTTTAGAAGAGTCATAACACTATAAATGATAAAATAAAAAATAAATAAAGAAGTCTAGAAATGGCATAAGAGATTAAGGTGGTTTGAAACAGGACTCAGCCAATTTTGAGTCTTCATTATTATTTCTTAAAATCAGTTTAGAATTTACAGGATGAGGGTCAAATCATCGTTATCCAATAAGAAAATTTGATATCCAAAGTACAAATATTTCATGTAGATAATAACAAAGATACAATTTGAATTCTACAGTAATTGTCTGTGTTACTTTGCATTTTTATTTTGTTAGTCAGTATTATTTTCTAGCTATGGTGATTCTGAATTATTCTCTTTTCGGCGTTATGAAAGTCTGGTCATAGATGATAAGTAACTATTCATATAGATGTGGTAGTGTGGTCATATCATGCCATTAATCAATGTGAATTGTAGTAGTAGTTCTGTGTTGGACCCTACTAATTTATACCGTTGTACTTCTGCTTCAATTATTAGTGTCATGATATGACCACACTACCACATTTGTCTGAGGAATAATACATTACAATTTATTATCTGATGAATAATGCATTACTACTTCCATCCCACACTTCAAAAAAGTAAATTTGGGTTGTGTTCATCCTTTGAGTAGAACAGCCCTAGCTAGTTGTTCTGATGAATAATGCATTACTCCCTCCGTCCTAATTTAAATGTCGTTATTGAGAAATGCTATGATATGACCACACTATCACATTTGTCTGACATTGTGAGTCACATTTCTTAACGACGACACTTAAATTGGAACGGAGGGAATACAATTTACAAATCATTTAGCTGGCATCTTGAGATATTTGGCAGCTAGCAATATTTGTGATTGATAGATACATAGTGTGTTGTATATTCACTCTGTACAATAATAGCAATAGTATTTTTTGTTTGTTAATGAAAAATAGCCCAGACAAGGACCATCTTTATGAAAACTTGAAATAGCAATTCATTACATAATTTGCATGTGCATTCTGGATGGTACTAATTTGGCAGGACCATCTTTATGATACTTATCTATCTATCTAGATTAAATGTGTTATAACTGCAAATTAATTAATTTTTCTTGCTATAATGTTTAATCTTGGATTGTTATTATTGGATCTGATTATGCATGGTCAAATTATTGCCCTCCAATCCACATTCTACATAGCTATAGAAGAGCCATAACACTATAAATGATAAAATAAAAAAATAAGGAAGTCTAGAAATGGCATAAGAGATTAAGGTGGTTTGAAACAGGACTCAGCCAATTTTGAGTCTTCATTATTATTTCTTAAAATCAGTTTAGAATTTACAGGATGAGTGGTCAAATCATTGTTATCCAATAAGAAATTTTGATATCCAAAGTACAAATATTTCATGTAGATAATTAACAAAGATACAATTTGAATTCTACAGTAATTGTCTGTGTTACTTTGCATTTTTATTTTGTTAGTCAGTATTATTTTCTAGCTATGGTGATTCTGAATTGTTCTCTTTTCGGTGTTATGAAAGTCTGGTCATAGATGATAAGTAACTATTCATATATTTCACCCATTAGTGTTGCCTTAAGATAACTGATATCAAGGGTTTCAACTGCTTGGGAAATAGGGCTAAGATGGAAGAACATACCTGCATGAGGTACCGTTGAAGTCAAGTTAGAAACTTTGAGTGAAAATGGCAGTTTTGAATTAAAAATGACCTTATTTAAGGTACATTTGAAGTCACCAGAGTGTTTTAATGTATAAAGTCAGAAATTTTGAGTGAAAATGATAGTTTTGAGTTAAAAATGACCTTATTCAAGGTACTTCGATCACGAGAGTGTTTTGATGTAAAAAGTTAGAAACTTTAAGTAGACTAGTCCAAGCTAGTTGTTCTTTTACAAAGATCTTGAAGAGATTGACAAATTTTATGTGGCACTACAGTTACATATCGTTTGTAGGATTGTCCTCTTTGTTGTCTAGCGGAGCACTGCCACCGGTGAAGGTGGAGGAGATATCACAAACCTTTGACACGGAGAATTTCAGAGTCCAGAATTCTGTCCTCATTGCTGGGCCGTATGCTACTACTTCAATCATTACCAATGCGAAATTTGAAATACAAAATCCCAAGCGAGTGCAGGTTTGTTCTATCCCTGATCTTGTATTCTTTTATCGTTGATCATACAAAAATGTTGCTTAGATTTGTCTTATGGATCACTTCTTGATTACATTGCCTCACTTTAGTGATTTTGTTTTCAATGTTAAATTTTTTTTTCATTTACTTTTTTGGTTGATTCAGATCAAGTTTGAAGAAGGCATCATCGGAACTCCTCAGTTAACGGACTCCGTTGTCTTACCAGAGAATTTGGAATTTATTGGGCAAAAGATTGACCTAGCACCCTTCAAAGGCTTAATCACTACTGTCCAAGACACAGCTTCTTCTGTTGCAAAGACCATATCGAGCCAACCACCACTTAAGTTCTCAATCTCCAACAGCAATGCAGAATCGTGGTTACTGATCACATACCTTGACAACGATCTTCGGATCTCAAGGGGAGATGCAGGTAGTGTGTTTGTGCTCGTCAAGGAAGGCAGCCAACTCCTGACACCTTAAACAAACTTTGAAGTTTGTTTTTTAGTCAATGTGTTAGAATTTTTTTTTTTTTCTCTGGGGGCATGTAATATTGTACTAATAACATATTGAAATTGCTTGTTGAATACCTTGTGTATAAGCTTATCTGAGAGTTTAGATTGGTTTTAGAAATTTATGTACCGCAAAGTATGGAGCGATTTATGACCTTTTTATGGTTTGGGGTTAGGGTAAATTACATAAGAGTTGAGCATTTAGGGTTTATTATTTTTACCGTCTTAGAGATTTGACCCGACATCTCTAACAGTTTCTTTCCAACAAATCTATTGATCAAATTTTATACGATGGTAATTTTTTATTCCCTTGCTAACTTTTCACATTTAGGCTCAGTTTGGTAGAGTAGAAATGGGAGGAAAGGGAAGGGAAGGTGATGGAGGGTGACTAAAAAACTGTGTTTGGGTAAAATGGGTGGAAGGGAAGGGAAGGGAAGGAAAGGGAAGGGTTTGGAGGGTTATGCATAGCCTTCTGATTTGTTTAACCTCCCAAAAATGGGAGGAAATGGAAGGAAAGGGAAGGTAATGGTTGATGATGCCAATTTTACCCTCAAATCAATATACATACAAGATAGCAGTTGCAGAAAGAATGGAGAGACGGCGGGCAACGGCGAACCCGAACTGGAACAGTGGCGATGGTGAACCCGAACTGGAACAGCGACGATGGAAACTTGAAAGATACGGGTTTTGATTTTCTGAACAATCTGATATACTGATACGGGTTTTGAATTTTTGATTCTTGCAGACAGAAAGATAAACTGAAATATATGGGTTTGGGTTTTGAACTTCTCAATCTTGTAGAGAGAGAGAGAGAGAGAGAGAGAGTTGAGAACGATAATAGAGATGGAGGCCGAGATTGGGAAGGCTGAAATGATTTGCCCTGGATCGGAACCTTCAAGAACAAAGGTGCTACAGCCGGATCTGGATCGCCCTTGTTTAAGAAAGAAAATTTTCTTTCCTTTTCTTGTTTCTTTCCTTTTATTTTATATATATATATATATATATATATATATATATAATGGGGATGGAGGCGAGAATGGGGAGCTGAAATGATTTGCTTTTTTTTTTTTGCAGGTATACTATATATATATATATAAATAATAAGGGTATAATAATAAATTTATTATTATCCCAAACATAATTATTATCCTTTCCTTCCCTTCCCTTCATTGACTAACCAAACACAATGGAAGGTTAAAATAATCATTCCCTTCCCTTTCCCTCATAACTAATCTTATCCTCCCCCTTCAAATCCACCGTACCAAACATACCCTTAAAGTCAATTTTCAGCACTCAATGAATAAGTTTAAGGAAGATCAAATTAATAAACACTAAACTACATATAATTTGTCCAAATATCATAAGAGGCTGAAACGTTACACCACACTTTAAAATATATCAAAGCCTTACATCTAACTTCACCTTTTGTCCAATAATTCTTTTAAACTTCACAATTTTTACCTTTCAAATAAAAATAGTAATAATAACTCTTTTAAGGCCTACAAATTAACCGAAACACAACTTACTCAAAAAAATAAAAAATAAAAAATAAATGCAAGTTGTTATGTTTACTCGTTGAACTAGGATCCCAAAAAAATAAATAAAAAATAATTTGTTTGGTCGGGTATGCTTGGTTGTAATATCATTAACCCAATTTGGGCCAAGGGTTATAATGGTTTGGACTTGAAAAAAAAAAAAAAAAAAAAAAAGAATAAAAAAGGCAAATCCGCACTGGACGTGCCCGTAGGGTTGCTGTTTTTGGCGACCCAATGTGCAATCCCCCAAAAATTGAGCTAAAATTAAACAAGTCCATTTTAGCACTGGACTCGCCGAAATTGATCCAAAATGACCAAATATATACACTATTGGAGTTGCTCTTAGCGCAGTGAGTTGCAATGCAGAAATTCTGTTGCATCCCATGGCGGGCCCAGTATTTCCGATAGAGCATAACTTTGGAAAGAAAATTTCCAATGGGATAATGATTTGTTGGCGGGCTGGACGGCATAGATCGACCTATGAGGCCGACTAAAGGAAAGCCTTTCCATGTCAGAGATTAATGGCATGAGTCGGCTTATCCAGTCGGCTAATAAAACGACTCTTCTACGTTGAAGAAACCGTTGATCGTGGACTGAGAGCAACGAGGGAGGCAAGGGCGGAGATTGTCGTGCTGTTTATGCAGCTCGAGGCCAAGAATCCGACTCCGGCACCGACTGAAGCTTTGACTCTCCTCGACGGCAAATGGATTATTGTGTAAGTTTTCACTCATCATTCTTCATTATTTTTGCTAGGCCAAACGCTGGAAACCAACATATTATATCACACTTTTTTAAAAAAAAGGCTACACTTTTCAGCCTCAAACCTCTCTCTTACACTCTCTAACTGCGATTTTCAGTGATCTCTCATGCTAAACTATAAACCCTAAACGTCGATCAACTAGAGTCCGACCCGCAAGGTAATATGAGTTTGGTGTTGGGTGTGAGACCCAAACCGAAACAAAATTGGGGCCACAACTTCACAATTTCAAATTGATTCAATTTATTTATTTATTTTCACTCGTTATTTTGAATTGATGATGATTTTTATAGTAGTGATCGTGAATTCGTGATGTTATTTCCACATTGTTCTCTGTGTTTAATTTCAGACTCCCGTGTTAGAAATCACAAAAATGGTCTCAGGGAAGGCTGGGACGTCCTTTCAGAATTTTGATCACATTTTTAAGCTTGTCAATTTGTTAAATTTTGTTTTGAACTTGGCTCATTGGTCAATAAGCTAATCAACTATTAGGAAAAGAAAAATTAAAGTACTAGATGTCACTCTCGCAATTTAGAGTCGCAGAGCAGTTGATAAACTGAATCAAGTTCAAGGATTTTTTTTTTTTTGAAGGTTAAGTAAACACAGTCACCCATGGAGGCTCGAACATGTGACCTCCCGAAAGGGGAGGAGGGCTTGTACTAGCTAGGCTATTACCCATTTGGTGAGTCAAGTTCGAGCTTGAGAGCAACTAGTTACTACTCAACTTGATTCGACCTGTGCATGATTCTTAACTTCTTTATAATTTGTATGACGGAAGTATCCCTGTTGGCTATTCTGTATGTTAGAAAATCTAAGCATAAGTACCATTAGATGGTCCCATGAACTCGAATACAACCAAAAAATTTAAGTGTACAATGGAAGTATGTCCACTAATTTTTTTGGTATAAAATTTAAGTAGAAGTAAAAGCTAGTACGGTTCAATAATGAACTTCAATTCAGCATGACTCATGCCATGTTTTGACCACACAAGCATATCTCTGATGAATAATGCAATACAATTTTTATATTGCCTGCTATTGGCATTCATGCAACTCACAGCTTGAGATATTTGGAAGCTAGGATTTGTCATTGATAGATGCACAATGTGTTGTACAATAATTCAAGTGTACAAAAGCACTACTATGTGTGCTTGTTAATGGAAAATAGCTGAGACGGGGACCAACACAAGGCTCTGTAAATTTATGAAAACAGGATCATCTCTATGATGTTTATGCTGGATCTAGCTAGATTAAATGAACAACCAACCACCAATCCTGTGGGATCTAACTACAGATTAATTTATTTTCATTTCTATAATGTTTAATCTTCAATCATTGTTATTGGATTTGATTATGTGTGGTCAAATTTATTACTCCCTGAGCCACAACCTACATAGCCATATAAGAGTCCATAAGGAACTTCCAAATTTTAGGGTCATAGTTACTAGGAGGGATAAAAAGTAAGGAGTATGGAAATGGCATAAGAGATACATGAGGTTTGAGACAGCACTATGCCAATTTTTAGTCTTCATTATATATTTCTAAAAACAGTTTAGAATGTACAGGATGAATAGTCGAAATCATCGTTGTCCAGCAAAAGTTATAAATTGATCACAGATCCCATTAAGAGAATTTGGGATCCTCTTTGATCATATGATTAACATTAGATACAATGCAGACAGAGTTCACGTTGATAATTAATAAAGATAAATTGAATTCCATAATAATTATCTGCATTACTTCGCATTTGTTTCTCCAGCTATTTTCCAATTTGATTCCTTCTTGTGTGTCCTCTTCATTTTCAAAGTATTGTTTTTGTTAGAACCTAAAATGGAGCAATTTATGTAAAAATTGCAAAGTATTGTTTTTGTTAGAACCTAAAATGGAGCAACTTATGTAAATTCAAGTTTAAATCCATGTTGTAGTGTGAAGGTCTATTTCTAAGTTTGAATCTAAGTTGGATCTTGTGAACATATATATGGATAATCCAAACAAAACTTACTATACTAAAACGGATATGTTTCATCAAATATCATCAAAGTTGATTTCTTTTATCTGTATTTATATTCAGGTCCAACCTGAAATTTAAGATAGAACAAGATTCATTTATGAGCCATTTTAAAATTTAAATTTATATTCATAATCTAAACACAATTAACCGAATTTCAAAATTCAAATTGGACTATTTTGACTGCAGACACATGTGTATCATATTAATGGCATCTCACTTTTTCTAACAAGCAGAGAATTTAGGCCAACAAAATTCGACAAACTGCTTGATTATTCTGCAATTTACACAATCAAGTGAAAGCAGAAGAAGAACAAGTTGTAACTGTTTCAGTCAACACTATAGGGGCCTGCTTGGTTCAGCGGAAAACAAACTCTTGAAGTATTCATAGAAGACAAATCTCTGAATACTAGCAGAGAAGAAAACGGGGAGATAAAAAGGTTTTATGTAATACCATTTGGAGTACGAACTATGAACTCAAGTAACTAATTTAAACTCAGAATCTAAAGACTTCACCAAGAATTCTGAATCGTTTAGAAAGTTATGTACACACATATTTTAACTTTCAGAATATTAGCTTTTATACATGCCTACATGGTCGCTGTGACTGCACATGCATGCTTAACTGAGAAGCTACAGTTGATGAGATAGATTTTTATTCACAAGAATCAGAACTAGTTACTTTTTCTTTTATCATTCTACATTCTACAAAACCTATTGAAAAATAATAATAACATACTCGTATCAAAATAATTCAAGAAGCGAAAATCAGTTATATGGGATTCTCAGGCTCTT